CCAAAAAAAAAAACGGATAGAAACACCGAAGCACTGCTAGAATTAAAAAGAACAAAACATTCCGAAACCCGAAGAGGAAATCAGAGCTATACATGAGGGAGATTAGGTGTTTTGTTGATTGAGAATTGTTTGATTTTATTGATTATTTATGTCATATGGTTACTGATGCTTTGTTATTGGTGTATACCTTATATTGCATTGTATTCGTATTGCATATTATCATCGTGTTTTTACTTCTCATTACGGATAAAGAAGATATAAGATGATTCAATAATTGGCAATTTTGTTCGAAACATTTGCTAATTATTTAATTAAGGCAACACTAGTTTACCAATGTTAAAACCTCATAAATCGAGTAAGAAAACCAATCAAGGTAAACAAAATAAACACTGATAAAATCGCATTTACTGCAGGCATCACCCGCCGTGTGAATCTACAATCAGTCAACAAAAAAAGTCCGGTGGGAATGGGACACAATCGCTAAAATAACAGTTGAGACTAAATTAAGGCATCGGTAGTTTACCGATGTTCAAATCTAGAAAAGCAATTTGGAATAGACAATTAGGGTAACAAACAAAAATTCAGGGAATCGGAATCGTCTTTCCAAAAGAAAGGCGAAGGATTCCAAAGGGACATTCAAACTCATAAGTCGAAAATAAACTGACAACGCCAACAAAAGGAGTAAGACCGAGGGCGTCGACAGGGTTAGCCTGTTCTGCAATTCATCCATCTACGCAATGCCAGTTCACACTCAGTCAAAATGTTACAATCGAAAAAAATTACACAATTGGTATACAAACAACTTCAAAAGACTGACGATCTTTTCGGATTGATTGTGGAATTCTTATTTTTGCATTTATGTTTTCAATTACACAAAGTAAGGCATGGCGTATTTCATCCTAACAGGAGTCATATATTAACCTATTTTTTCACTGACAGGTATGAAAGTCATATGAACAAAATTAAAGATTAAAACGTTCACCAAATGTTTACTTTGAACACCTTAGACCACCCCTGTTTTGAGTTAGGTTTGTGTTTGTTTATTCTCTAGTTTTCTGTGTTGTATTTTGTAAACTGTTGTTTGTCTTTTCGTCGAATTTCCTGTTGGCCATAGTATTGTCGGTTTTTCATTGATTTATAATCGTTTTACTTTCTCGTTGGTATATTCTCTTCATTTTTACCACGTCTTAGAATGGTTTACCATCTACGTCGTCTGGTCTTCTAAGTACCGAACTTGACCTATTCCCGAATATGACTGTTTTGCTGAGTGTAAATTCACATTGCTATTAGACGTGTCTCGGTATTTGTACATCCAACATTCATGCATTTAGTTATGATGTTTCATTTGTAATTCTGGTTGGATGTTGTTTTATGTCTTATCGTTTGTGGTTTTAATTCTATTTTTATTTTCTATATGTATGTAAAAGTAAAGACATTAATCACCTAGTTCATTTATATGATTTTTGGTTTAAAGCAACTATATGCGCAGAATTTATTTGTTTTTACACAGTTTGATTTTGAAGAAAAACCGACATGGTTATAAAATACAAATAATTACACCATTATTAACACAATTCTATATTAATATTCTTGTTATGGTTAGAAAATACATCAAATAACACCATTACAAACTTAATTCAAATTCTGTATTCTATTTTTAGAAATTTACCTGTGACGTCACTTTTTGTGGCGTTGTTTCATTCGTGTGACGCACAGTTCATTATTCTATTGTGCTGTATTTGTGTTCTGTCGTATATTAATTTTAGGTGTTCGTTGTTATTCTGTGGTTTACATGTTGAAATGTACTATTATATTATTTATTTATGTATTTCTCTGTCCTGAATGTTCTTGCATTTATGTGTACTGTATTCCTGTCACGTATTATGTCATTTTAGCGGTATTTTTAACATTGTCATATAAGCGGGAGGTTTGGCTAGCCATAAAACCAGGTTCAACCAACCATTTTTTCTTAAAATGTCCTGTACCAAGTCAGGAATATGGCAGTTGTTATCACATAGACCGTTTCTATGTATGTTGGCGTTTGTTTTTGTAGAAGTTCAGTGTTTCGTTTTGTTCCTATCTTATTTTTGGGAAGTATTTTTACAAATTCAAATGTGACGTCACTTTGTGTGTTTTTTTAGAATTTCAAATGTGACGTCACTTTGTGCTTTGAGGCTTTGGCTAACTCGGCTGTGTATTTTTATGTGTTGGATTAAGTTGTTTTATGTAATGTATCCGTTTTTATTCTGTAGTTAGTCCCCTCTTCGGTTTTATCATGTATATCTATTATATAGTCATATTATAAGATTTACTGTTTGCAAAATTATAAATTATTCTAAATAATAAGGATGTTCTTGTCCCAGGCAGAAAACCCCGGCCGTGTTAGGCGCAACTTTTTGGAAGTTTTGGTCCTCGGTGCTCTTCAGATTTGTACTTGTTTTGGCTTTCAAACTTTTTTCATCTGAGCGTCACTGGTTTGTCTAAAATGGACGAGACGCACGTCTGGCGTATTGAAATTTAAGCCTAGTACCTTTTGTTAGCTATTATTCGTGTGTTTCTTTGTCCTATATGTTCTCCCATTTATTTGTATTGTGGTCCTGTTATGTGATGTTGTCGTTTTGGTGTTGTGTTTGACGTTGCCATAAAAGCGGGAGGTTTGGCATGCAACAAAACCAGGTTCAACCAACCATTTTTTTCTTAAAATGTCCTGTACCAAGTCAGGAAAATGGCCATTGTTATATTATAGTTCGTTTCTGTGTGTGTTACATTTTAATGTTGTGTTTTTGTTGTGTCGTTGTTCTCCTCTTATATTTGATGCGTTTCCCTCAGTTTTAGTTTGTAACCCGGATTTGTCTTTATCTCTATCGTTTTATGAGTTTCGAACAGCGGTATACTACTGTTGCCTTTATTTGTTTCCTCTTATAGTTGATGTGTTTCCCTCTGTTTTGGTTTGTGACCCGGATATGTTTCTGTTAAATCGATTTATGACTATTGAACAGCGGTATACTACTATTGCCTTTCTTTATCTATGCTACCCTGAAATATCTTCAAATGTAAGTATCGATGTTTGATGCACAACAAATATCTAAATGTTACTTTTTTTATTTAAGATATCCAATTTGACTTAAAATCATAGAATGTTTTTTTGGAGAACAGGTTGAAAATTTTGTAGTAATTTCTCATCGTTGATATTGTTTAGCCGTCAGTGTCTATAAATTTATTTTATGTAGCAAAGTTTTGTAATAATTCCTTCTTTATAAATAAAGAACGCTTTAAATTGAGACTGTATAATCTCGTAAAGGCCAACATCATTTGATGACCAGTTATGTAAGGCATATTAGCTTTTATGTTCAGACAAGTATAAACATAATACATCAGACTCGTACAATTTTAACCTAATAGATTGGTCGGTTCCGAGCTTTTGTACTTCTCTAAACCTTATCACTAATGTTTTCTGATAAATGAGTCCCATGATTACATTTACTGTCTTGCCTTCCTCCAGACTTCCGAAGTCATAAAGATATATTTTTCATTCATTTATAGAGATCAAATTTACATAATGAATAGCGTTTGCAGCTTTGCATTTTCGAGTAACGAAAACGTAAGTTAATTTATTTTGATCCCCGTCTTCTCTGTATTGCCTCCCTTATTTCCCTTTCTTACAGATGTATAAACTTCAAAATTACATAAATGTGATACCAAATTATATTCATTTGAAATAACCGTTACCATCGTATTAAAATATTTTAGAAAACACATAACCTCAACAACGTTTCCTTGGATAGTTAAGCCTTTTATTTTTGTATGTACCCGGAAGATCAGTACCCTAAATATTTACGACTGACAATGCCGATCTTTATTTTTTCAAGTACGATCTATATAAGTCAGTAAATTAAATTATTCAGTGACAGGACATCATCTAGCGACAAAATTTACCATTTGGTTTTATTTTTGCCTATTATCTTGAAAATAATAAAAGATAGATATGAACTTCAAACAGAAAAAAATGATCAGCAAATCAAGATCTACAATTAAGTCTGGTGGTCGAATTCGTCAGTTGACTAGTTATTGTAGTTGATACCCTCTAATGATTTAAATTTTTACAATTTTTTGGTGTTTTTTGTCTATTATCTTGGAAATTATAATAGATAAATAGAAACTTTTAAAAGCAAAAAGGAAATAAGTGAATATTACAAAATTCTGCAGGTGTCTCTTTACAGGAGTCAGTGCCCTTGAATGACAGTTTTAATTTTTTTTTTTTTCGTTTTTGTCTAATATCTTGTAAACTATGATCAATAGATAGAAACTTTGAAAACAAAAATTATCAGCAACACTAGATCTGCAATTAGGTCAGCAAAGATGAAATTGTAAGTATTCTGATAGAAGTTTTTGCCCTTAAATTATATTCCTAGCTTTTTGTGTTTTGGGCTAAAATTAAAGAAGACAAAGACAAACTGTAAACAGAAAAGTGACCAACAATACTAGTTTGACAAAAACAGAGATTAGTCATGAACTATTTTCTAGTCCACTATGTTTGAGAGTGTCCATTGTTCAAGACGCACATAGAATATACCTAGTTGAGCTATAGTTCTTTAGAGGCTGTATTTTCTTTTGGTCGTGGTGTTATCTGTCTTTCTGTTATTTGATTCTCCACTTGCATTTTTCTTCTTTTTTTGACAGAATATTTCTTATAAATGTTGGTGTGCAGTTTTTTTTTTATCCAAAGGTTGTTTTGGCATTCCCAAAGTAGACATCGAAATCGCCATTTCTATATACTTTTGGGAACAGGAGTAAGTTATTGTGAGTTGTTACCCATTGTTCTATTTCTATTTCACAAACATCATGATAAGTTTTCCTTCGCTATTTTTACACGAAGCTGTTGCTAAATCGAACAGAATAATTCAAAAAGTGTGCGCCTATAGAGTCATGATAGATAAAAGGATATTTCAGCTGAAATTCAACGTATTATTTTATTGAATTCTATTTTTTTATATCAATAGATGGCTATGATATGCATGATTTAAACTTGAACTGGAAAGATGGTAGATCATCAGTGTATGGCATAGATAATGTGGAACTACCTCAATTCTCTCTGATAGAATATAGGACGGTACGAAGAATAGAAAGTTTATCGTCAGGTAAATATCTTACAATATTCTACCTTCTATAGATTTCACAGAATTAAATTGGTTGTGCAATGTATTTAATACACAGTGTGTACAAGTGGGACATTGCCCGATATAAGACGGAAATTATCAAATATTTAAAGTTAGTTATAGTCATTCATATGTTTTTTTTCCAAGTATCAAATAATGGTAGGATATAAATACTACAAAGTCAATCGGTGACCTAATATGGCATATACACGATCAGGATATTTAACACGAGGATAATAACCCCATATTTACTGACCCTCTATATACCATATTAGGCCACTGACAGCCCCTATAATAAATAGTATTAATAGCTAGATATTTAGATAATTGTCAGTTTTAGACGACAACATATACGTAATGCATTGCGGGAAACACTTGATCCTTTAAGTTATTTGATTTATTTAGAACATCGTTATCATTGATGTCTACAACATGACTTTACAAATGCATTAGAAAGGTCTTTCTACGATTTTTTTTGCGTTAACATCATGCAATTCGCACACTGAATTGTACTATAGTTTGCATTATTTTAGGTGGTGTACTATAGTTTGCATTATTTTAGGTGGATTTGTTTTTATTTGAATATAAAAATATTAAAATACAAAGTAATTTAAGATTAACTCTTAATATACATGTGCATAAGTAAAAACAATGGCATGAAATTTGTGCTTTCACGTCCTCGTTTATAAAAAATGAAAGTATATTCTTTATTTTGTTTTATAAGGAGTGGATTCCGTACAGCAAGCAATATTTGTTACATATATTTTGTATTTCAAAATATTAATCTGTGGTCTTTCAAAAATTATTGGCAGAAAAACATGAGTTTAAGTAATATGCTCAAACATTGATACTGAAACCAGCCATATACAACAAGAGATTATCAAAATTTGACTACTATGAATTAAGTATTTAGCACGGACAACTAATTTGCACAAAGCGTAAGTTCATTTACAAATTACTTTGGACATATTCATAAAGAGATAGGTCTAAAACAGAGGCGAAAGATACCAAAGGGACATTGAAACTCATAAGTCGAAAATAAACTGACAACGCCATGGTAAAAAAAGACCAGAAGACACACAACAGTACACAAAACAAGACATAGAAAACTAAAGACTGAGCAACACAAACCTAACTTAAAACCGAGGAGTTATCTCAGATGCTCCGGAAAGGTAAGCAGATCCTGCTCCAAATATCTAACACGTTAAAACATAAATCAGAAAATCTACCATGCTAAAACCTGAAAGGAATCCGACGTAACCATTTGTTTGAATAAAAACTATTTGCCTATCCGTTCCATCGGATGCAAATATATGTTTTCGCGAATCCCGCCCCGACAAATCTTTACTTTTCTTTTATAAGAAATACCATGTTACTGTGTTATAATATTACTTGCAACTGTGACTTTAATGACTTCAATGTCATAACTGTTTTGATATAAAAATGATTTGCCCCGTCAACCCCGTTACATTCCCTTTCCCCGAATCGTCATATAAGTTAATTATACTTCCGAATTAAGAGATCATTGAAATTCATTTCTAGAAACGCTGAAATGTGTGCACAGAAAAAGCATAAACACTAGGAAAAGAATGAAAAGTACTCAACTTAAAGTAAAGACTGTCGAATACCTTTACGAGACATTATTGCAACATATTCTTAAAAGATTAAGATGTATACTTTTTCCATGAAATGATATGTTTGTTGTTACCAATTATACATTACAAATGCTACTGGCTGGCGTGTTTCACAGGAACGTAACATTTAAACTTTAACAAAATAATAAATGAGACATTTACTATTGAACGAGACTAAATGTTATAATTTTGTTTGAAATTATTTCCATGTAATGATAGTCCTTCTTCGACTATTTTATTCTAATGAACACGAAATAAAATTCCGCTTGTCTATTTAATTCTCAAAATATATAGAACTAGTTGTTCACATAAAGTAGGCATTACGTTTATATGTCTTTCTAATGTACAATTAAATATAGAGAAACATATTAGAACGTGAAATATTTTAAAAACTGTTGAATGTATCTTTTGCTAAAATTTTTCAGTGTTGTACCTAAAATACTATTAGTATTAACCTCAAAAATAAAGTTATATTCTAGTCTTTTTGCAATTCAATACTGTTATACATGAGAAAATTTGGCAATTCTAGCATGTTCAAAGACAGCATGCAGTAACCTCTGTCCTCTTGAGGCATAAATAAGTTGTCCAAATATCTTATATTTATGCAAAATTAATTAAGCGATTTTTTTTTCATGACTTCTGGTGGTAATATTTGTGAAGGTCTATCTAAAAATTGGCCAAACTTATGATAATAGAAACATGAACTGTAGAATAAATGAACCATCATTACTGTATATGTAACACTGTTCAATGTAAAACTATCTTGTAGTATACTTGGAAGTTATAAAATCATAATAGTTCACACAATATTAAATACAAAAGAGGTTGTTCCTGAAAGCCTTTCGAAGCTGACAATGAAAGTATCCTATGGAAGCCACATAATATCAATGGAGAAAACACTAGAAACAAAAACTGCTACAGAAAGGATGAGCGCAAAATTGTTGATTAAAATTGCGAATGCACAATCTTCAATCAAACCTGTGATAGTGGCGTAACAGAATAATATTAGAACAAACGGTTTAATTCCGATGAAAAAGGCTTGAGTCATCAGATCCAAAAAAGCAACCAAAAAAACCCAAATAGCAACAAGACTAAAGACACAAAGTATCAATCAAAGAGTACTCGTAGTTACTATAAGCTATTCAAAGCCATTTGCAACTAATGAATAAATTATGTATCCCAAACTAAAATATCAATCAGTACACAACAGTGGATTTAGACTAAAACATCATACTCAGTCTGAATAAAACAACGTTTCCTTTTGCAATCTCAAAATGTAAGTATCAAAATGATATATTTGGCCAGTGATAAGTCGTAACGCGTGTGAACTTCTCGCATCTGTCAGACACCAACTTCCTGTGTGTCGATGTTCAATATTTTTATTTTGTTGAATGAACTAAAATTTGGTCACACTTAATTCACTGAACAAAACGACTTCATATTTTGGCTAGCATTTTGAAAATGATGAGTTGTATGTAATGTATGAGTATTTTCGAATATGTGAGACACTTTTTCTTGTTTTTCGATACTTTGAATTACGAATGGGGTAATCTTAGTACGCCAACGCTTGCAACATCTTGTTGATTTGGTCTTCCAGCTATCCTGAATCAAGCACCTCTAAGAATTTTTATGAAAATGAAAATTCTATTTCGTTACGAAATTAAAAATCTGCTAAGTTTTAACAACCATCAAAAAGCTTTATACTGAGAATTATAATTGATATTTTACTGAGATCAAAACTGAGACCTCCCACTGTTTTTGTGAGGTCCTTTTAGTTTTCCATGTAGTGTATTATTGACCTTTTTTGTATTTTTGTCGCCTTTTGTTTTTTGACGATCGTGTCAGTTTCCCTTCAACTTATCAGTTTGAATTTGCCTTTGGTATCCTGTTGTTACTAGAGAAAATAATTCTTCCAAACCCTGATAATCGATTCAGATATAGATAAGATGTTGAACACTTTAGTGTCGTGTTCTTGATCCTTATTAAGTCTTTAATTTGAAATCAATTTTTTTTTAATTCCAATCTTATTTTTTTCAAATCTTGGAGTTTAAATTTAAGAAGATTTGAAGTTGTTGTCTTAAGAGTTTAGAACTGAACTTCCTTGATGAATCGATCAAATTTGGTAACTTTATTACCTTATCTGTATTTGGCAAACCCTTCGGAATTTTTGGTATTCAATGCTCTTATACTTTGTACTTTATTTTGTCTTTAACTTTTTCGATTTGAGCGTCACTGATGTGTTTTTTGTAGATGATGTAAACAAATGAAGCCTGGTATCTATGATGTGTTTATTGACAAATATTCAAAAGAGAATATTTCCAAAAGTTGATCATAACATTCTTTAGAAAAAACATAATACTTTTGAATGTTTTAGCAATTTACAAACTCTTTTCTATGATTGTCTCTTTTAAATAAAGACATCAAAGTGAATTATTGAATTGACGACACTGAAAAAGAATGTTTATATATTCTCTGTATGCTTCCTTTGTGAAAAAGCAACATTACAAAACAGCATCTAACGCTCTAAAAACTAATTACGCATTAACACCAGCGCTAATATCTGAAATTGTATAATATCCTGTCCTGACTGAGTATAATGTTTGGCATTAATGCCGTCATATTAGCTGTGCATTGTACTCCCCCGATACTTGTACTGTGTTTGCCAATGCACTTTTTTCGAATGAAACATTTCAACACAAAATAGAGATAAATTGTAATGATCTCTCGAAAATACAGTCAATAATGAAACAAATCTTTAATGTCTTCCCAAGGTCGTGGTCGAGATATTGTTATTTCATTGACATTTTAATGAAACGAAATCTCTGACTTAATAATTTACCAGTAATACATCGACTGAAATCTAAAACGTCAGAACAGGCACGTGCGTAGCGAACGCGTTGGGAAATATACACAACGTAAGATTGGGCCACACGAATATAACCATCCAAGAAATAAACAGTAACAGAAGGGAACGAAAACCCGTATGTGTTATTTCATTAAAGAATTTTCCGAGTGAAAGTGATTCATCTAAATTTTGAAAAAAGACAATTATTACTGTTTGAATTAGAATAATTTAAAAAAAAATTCAGCAGTGTTAATAGAGAAATCTTGATTAATTCAAGCAAACATATTATCAAGGTAACGGTAAAATTCATCGATTAAATTAGACGAACCTTTATCCTGTTTTTGGTAGATTGCGTGTTGCTCAGTATTTAATTTTCTATGTTGTGTATTGCAGACTATTGATTGTCTTTTGGTTTTTTTTTGGGTTTTTGTTTTTTACATGGCGTTGTCAGTTTGTCGTCGACTTTTAATTTTAATATTTCTTTGGTATCTTTCGCCTCTCTCTTTACTGAGTTTAACCTAATTTTTATTTTTTTTTCAAAACAATACAGGAACACGTTTGTTATTTAAGGGCGCAATTGGTGCCCAGAGGGCATAATTAAACCTGTCGATAGAAACGCACATAATTGTTGTCAACGAGACCATTTACACCCATGATCAACTAATCACAGTTCCAGTAATAATATCTAGTATATTTTCTTTTTCGTAACAGAAGAAGTCTGTCATGTTTGTTATTCGTTAATTGTTTTGTTATAAATCAGGCCGTTGATTTTCTTATTTAGATAGTTTCATATTGTCATGTCGGGGACTTTCATAGATGACAATAGGGTATGAGTTTTACTTATTGGTGTAGTAATAACATTAAAGATACCATTTTTATGCACTGGATGCGCATTTCGACAGTGATGTACGAGGCTAAAATATTTGAAAATAAGCCGCAAGGTGATCTATAGTTGCCTTTAGATATCGGATGATAGTTGACTATTATACCACATCAAACCACATCTCCTTATTTTTATATCTATATGAGTTGTAGCATTTCCATTTGCAAATTCGAAATTCATTACAGTCAACTGAATTAAACGGAACATCAAAATTCGGTAATTTGTCTCAAACATCGTAACAGTTTTTACACTTTAAAAACAAATTATACCAATATTTTCATTTTTTTTTTAAATGAACAGAAAGATTAGAAGTAGAACACGTACTTGAAGCCATGATGTATTAGTTACTTTTACTTGTTCAGATGAGCTTTTAAGCTGAGATGTGATTGTAACATCAATGTTTACTATTTGACTCTATATGGATCACATGGTATTGAGTGTAGAAGAATTAATAATTTCATTCTCAAGAACTTCCGTATTATATTTATGTCAAACAACTGCAACATTGTCGGTTGGGTTTTTTTATAATTTCAATTTACAGTGACAAAATCAACGCTGAAATAAATAAAAATTCCCAATAGAATTTTGTGTTTGCTCAAATTTCTATGAGCATTATTGTTATTAGTTTGTAAAACAGGTCCATATAAATGTATTTTGAATTGTATTGTACTATTTATAGTAATACTTTAGTATGTTTAAAATCTACCTTTTATCAAAATACATAGGTTTAAAAAAAAATGTTATATATGACTCAATTTATATGTAAACACAAAAGTATTAACATCAAAATTAGAATAATCATTTAAACATAATATTGTATTTTGCAGGAGATTACCCGCGGCTTTCTTTAAGCTTCAAGCTATACAGAAATGTCGGATACTTCATTTTTCAGACATATCTTCCCTCTATATTGATTGTTATGTTGTCTTGGGTGTCATTCTGGATTAATCATGAAGCCACATCAGCACGAGTTGCTTTAGGTTTGTAAAGATACATTAATATGTATAAATATCATTTTGAATTGTTATTAAGATTAATGATAGATTATTTGTATTTCAAAACTGCAGTTACTTTTTGAAAATAAATCTGCTGATTTCAGCCACTGTCGTTCCTACGGATATTATGTCAGTCGCATGTCTTTTGTTTGTCTGTTTTTGCTAAAAAGGATGTCAAACACTGCTTTTAACAGATCGGATCTAAATATTTGGTATGATTCTTAGTACTTGTGATGCCTTATTCAGCTCAAATATTTCAGCATAAGTGTTTACGATATGCAATATACGGCCGTCAGCTTCTCCTGGATTTAACGGAGGGATATTTGATATCCATCAAAGAGATTAACGAAGGCAACTTCAAGACGGTCCGGTATGCATTATGCAAAACAACCCATCGACATACATATGTATGTATAGATCTTATACTATAGTTGTTAAACACTGGGTCTTTATGACACCTTATATCACCTTATGTTTAAGAAATACATTTGGTCGATAAAAACCGCAAATTCTTTGAGTTGGGATGTCATTACCAAAAAATTATCTATTAAAGAAAGAATAAAAGAACATTCGATCAGTAGGTAAGTGCCAAAGGCGAAACAGTTAAATACAAGAATAAACTAATTTTGAACAAATATATTCTACTTTGTTGCTAATTATTTTGTAGGTATTACAACTGTTTTAACAATGACGACTATAAGTAATGGTGTACGTTCGTCATTACCCAGAATATCTTACGTAAAAGCCATTGATATATACCTGGTTGTGTCTTTTGTATTTGTATTTGCTGCGCTATTAGAGTATGCTGCAGTCAACTATACATATTGGGGAAAACGTGCAAAGAAAAAGTTCAAGAAAATAAAAGATACACAACCAATGCTACAGGATGATAAAGTACGTGAAAGTTAATCAATCTGCTTTTTAAAAACATTCCTTCTTATAAAAACAAATCTGAATAACATTCATAAGGAAAAAACCAGAAAAGTTGGATATTTTATTACTAAAACAACGGTTGCAACTAGTGAAGCAGGAACGGATTTATCCTTGCGTAGCACAAAACTTCATCCTGTTACTTTAGTAGTTTAAATAATGTCAAATCTTTTTATTTGTCATTATATTTTTTTCTTTTGGCTGTCTCTTTTTTACTTATTGTTTTCGATTCTTTCCTTGCGATCTTGTCAAAAAAAAATACATCAGTTATTATACATGGGTTCTTTCATAATGTTATACTTAAGAATTAAAATAGCTCATTATAAACTTAATGTGTCCAGATCGATTTCTTACATTTACCTTCATCAGGAACGCTCAAAGCAAATTATTTGAAAGCCAAGTATGTACAAGTTTCTTAATAGAGACAAGAGTTGCGGCCCCTGAACTAAGGTGACGAGTGTTACATAGCTCCGAAGAAAATTAAACCTATTTGAAGATTTCCAAGAATTTATGGTAACATACTTGTATGTGATGAAGACAGTAGGTAGTTGCACTACTTTATAGAAGATTTTCTGCAATCTTTCGGGATTACACCCAGTAAATAAATTTCGTCAATGTGTACTGACAAAGACGATCCAAACAAAGAAAAAAACATGGCTGCCTCATATGCCGAAGCAGCTAAAGGAGACAAAACACAATCACAATCATATGATGACACAATGACCGGAGTAAAACCTATTTTTCTACTTGAAGAAGATGTATTCGGAAACGATCTTGTAAATTCCAATGGTCATCGTTATTTTTTAACTCACTGGGAAGTCTACCATGCAATAAATGAGCAAGTTCCAGTAAAATCAATGTCTGGACTACAAAGAGTCCGCGGTATTTGGAGAATATACTTTGATAACGAGATGGACAAAAAAGACCTGTTGTCCTAAGGAGTTACAATCAGAAGAATTTCTGTTACCCTGTATACTCGAAATCCAAAAATTACCTTTCGTGAACAGGAAGATACGATCAGAGTACGAGTAAAAACATTCCCCTCTCAGCAGACGACAACCAAATAATAAGAACACTAGAAACCTCTGTCAGTAAATGTGAGGTACTTAGCTGTTATAGGGAGAGGCTCCGAATAGACAACAAGATTACAAATTGTAAAAATGGTGACCGCATATTGATATGCAAAACTTTTGAACAACCTCTACCTAAAACTATGCAGGTTGGGAAATACTGGGCCAACATAAATCATTATGGTCAGCCTCATCCAACCAGGCCAAGTACAAAATGCAGCAAGTGCCTTGATGAAGGACATACAGCAAGAGAATGTCCAAATGGCTGGAAATGCAAAAAATGTTGGCAATTTGGACATAAACAATTTGAATGTACAGAAAATATGAATTCTGATTGTGAGGGTAATGCAGATGGTGATGAAATGGATAACACATCTAACAAAGAAAAACATGATGATGATGATGACGATGATGAAAGCAATGATGATTACACAAGTGAAAACAACCAGTCTCTTGAGGAAGGCAATTCCCAAAATATAACGAAGACTTCAGTGAGTATCGAGGAAAGGAAGAAGTCGGATAATGACCCAGAACAGTCTCAGTCAATCCTTGATACTCAAGAAAGTGCGTTGTCCAGAAAAAAACAAAGTCAAACACCAAAGAGCAACAAAAATACAGGTCATAAAGAGAGCATAACAAGATATTTAACAACAAAAGGCAGAGATCAAGATAGCACTAATAATACTCATGATACTCCTAAGCAGTCAAGAAATAAAAATCCAAACTTTGAAAAATCTCCTGTGACGCCAACTGAAAATCTTCATGATGCAACAAGAGAAACAGCTGCAAAAGAGCCAAAGAAGAAACGCTAGTTTGCTTATGATGATAAACAATACAAACTTTAGATAGAAATACTTTTATTAAAAATCATATATATAAACATTAAAAAAAAAATGCATTGCTATGTTAAAATGTCTCACAAAATAGTTTGTAAAGCACTGTTTTTATTTATATCATCCAGTATTTACTATCTAAAATGTTTGATCTGTAAATTTGTTGTATGCTGTATACTAATGCAGCAAGTTGCGAAGAGAATAGAAGGTCTAGTTTCAACAGCCTCTTTAACTCTACTGAAGTTATTTCTGTTCGAAATGTTAAACTTGAAAAAGAAAAAGAAAAATGTAAAAATAAAATACGAAGATTCTGTCATAGAACAAGCGTGTATTAAAGTAGTGAATAAATTGCATTTAGTAAATTTGAGCCAAAAAAATGTTTTCTATTCAAAGGGAATTGTGACTTGTCAAATGCTACTCATGTTAAAATTGCTTGTAAAATATATAACAAGCACACATTCAACACTTAGATTAGCTTCTGCGAATGTTCTTGATATTTCACCTAAAATTAAAAGCTCTAAAAATATTTTATTTCACTGTGTGTACTTGAGAAAAACAGTGTACTATATATTGCATGGTTTTGTTGTAAGAATTTTATGTGTACATGTATGTTATTATATATGGACATTTTTATATCTGTTACCACCAATGATATATTCTCTGGTGATATGTAGTGTGATCAAATTTTCTTATCATAGATATGATGAAAAGAGTACTGAAAAATGCATATTGTGCCAAAAAGTGCCCAAGTTTACATGCATTATTTTGTGGGTAAAAAAAGTGTGTCAACACGTGCTTATGTTTATATACAGTGTCACGTGGACAAGTAAATACAGGTCATTCGACCTCGCACGGACTTCTATTTTACTTTCGAAATTCTTGAATCTTACAAAAAAATCCACTGACGAGTGTCTTAAATGGTTGTCTATTAAATCTCATAAAATAATTCTTAATGAGTGTAAATCATCACATCAATCATTACAATCATCAAAATACGATTCAGTGTCAAAAATCAGACTAAACGGAAAAGTTATTAATAACAGCAGATCAAAATGTAGAACATACGTAACTGGACAAACAAACTTTAAATACAAAATGTGTTATAAACTGAGATCCAAACGCCGAATGCTTAGTTTTAAAAATAAAAATAAAATAAACTTTATGTCAGATTCTAAAGACACAATACCGCAAGTAAATCATTGTTATTTCTGTGAAAAAAAATCACTCAAAACAAGAAACAGAAGCAGGATAAACAATAACAAAAAATCGCTTATGTTTACAAAGATAGTAAAAGCTAGAAAATTGTTTAAAGGTACATCGTTAAAATTTAAATCCACAAAAATCAATGAAGCGTTCTTTGTAAACACTCAGGAAATATACCTGTAAATGAAAAGAACAAGCTATTTAAAACCTTTCAGTAAACATACATTTAAGTGTAATAAAAACGCTAGAAATTGATAAAATATTTCGGCCAAAAAATGAATAAAAACCCCACTAAAATAGCAAGATATAAAAATGATATACAAATATATAAATACAGCTGCATACTATATATGGAAAATATTTTCAAAACTATGATTAGAAAATGGTACTTACCAGATAAAATGCTTAATCGACAATTTTCAAATAATCCAAAATGAAAAACAATCTACATATAAGCACGGTCAATGCCAATGGCCTGCAACAACCTGAAAAAATAAGTAAAATTGTAAGCTGGTCAAATCAACAAAAAAGTGATATTCTATTCATGCAGGAAACCCATTTTACAAATAAAATGAAGTTCACATTAGAAAAAGAATTTGGTGAAAATCTTTTTAGAAGCGACGGGACAAGCAATTCACGTGGGGTGGCAATATGGATAAAAGATAAAACCAAATTCAAATACATAGATGAACATAAAGATTTAGAAGGAAGAGTTATTATGATTGATATTGAAATTGATGAAAATATTTACACATTAGTTAATATCTATGCTCCGAACAGATTGAGAGAAAGAAATAGTTTTTTTAAAACAATAAAAGTGTTTATTAATAAATACGGACTGGGGCAAGTCATTCTAGGAGGTGATTTTAATGACATTTGGTCACTGCTAGATACAAAAAATAAAACTAAATCTCCCAAAAAGTTTGATAAACCAGTAACAAGTTTAAAAGGGCTTATAAAATCATGTAAACTAATCGATATTTGGAGAAGCAAAAATAAAAATACTAGACAATTTACTTGGAGTAGGAAAGATAGAACAGAAGCTACCAGAATTGATTATTTTTTTGTTTCTAAAGAGGTAAAAAAAAACTGCAAAAGTTGTGATATTAGACCTATTGTCCAAAAAATAACTGACCACAATGCAGTGTCACTCAAATTAAATACTGAAAGAGGAAATAAAGGACGGGGGTATTGGAAGTTAAATGCTAGTATAATGAACAATGAAGAATATGGTTATGTTATTAAAAAGCTAATATCTAAATATGAAAAAGAATTAACCAACTGTGATGATTTGGGGATTCTTTGGGATAATTTGAAAATAGAAGTAAGGGACGCAAGTTTAGACTATTGTAAAAGAAGAGCTAAATTAAAGAAAGATGAAATAAATGTTCTGGAAACAAAGTTGAATAACCTAAATAATGAAATAAATGATAGTACTGATATAAATAAAACACTACAAAAGGAAATAGAGAATGTTGAAAATAAGTTAGATAGTTTGTATAAAGACAAGATTAAAGGGCAAAAAGTAAGGTCAAGGGTAAAATGGTTTGAAGAAGGTGAAAAAATAGTGCATATTTTTTGGGGCTAGAAAAGAGTCGTCAAACAAAAAAAGTTGTTACTGAATTATATGATGAAAATGGTTTGGCTACCAAAAATCAAAATAAAATTTTAGACTTGGAAGTAAAATACTACAAAAAACTCTATGAATCAACTAATCCCTGTGATAATGAGGTTAAGAAGTACATAATAGAAACAGAAATATCAAAGCAGCTAGATGAATCAGAAAGTAATCAATGTGAAGGGGAAGTGACTGAGAAAGAATGTACAGAAGCAATTTTTAAAATGAAGTTAAATAAATCCCCTGGCCTGGATGGTCTGACAGTGGAATTTTATAGGCAATTTTGGAATAATTTTAAAAATATTATGGTTAAAGTATTTAATAATAATTATGAGAAAAAGAACTTACCAATTCACAAAAAAAAAGGTGCAATTTCCTTAATATATAACAAAGATGACCCGCTTTCATTAAATAATTACCGTCCAATTACATTACTTAATATAGATACAAAACTACTGGCTTATGTGTTAGAACAAAGACTTAAAAAAGTGTTACTATCTATTATAAGTCTAGACCAAACTGGATATGTAAAAAATAGATATATTGGCTTTAACATAAGACAAATTCAAGACATAATTGATTATTCAGAGAAATTTAATATAGAAGGAGCAGTACTATTTCTAGATTTTAGTAAGGCTTTTGAATCTTTAGAATGGATTTTTATGACAGAAACTCTCAAAAAGTTTAGATTTAAAAGCGGATTTATCAGATGGGTTGAAACTATGTATAGCGATATTAAAGGGTGTATTTTGAATAATGGGTGGGTCTCAAGTCCATTTAAAATATAGAGGGGAATACGACAAGAATGTACGATTTCTGCTTTACTGTTTGTTATAACAGTTGAATTAATGGCAATAAGATTGAGAAAAAATAAAGAACTTAAGGGAATAACAATAAAATTAGATGGACAATCTTGTAATTTAAAAATCTGTCAATTAGCAGATGACACAACATTGTTTCTTCAGTCTCGTAAAGATATAAGCCTGGCTCTCAGTATAATAGAGACATTTGGAAGTCTATCAGGGCTGAAACTTAATAGGAATAAAACAGAAGGGATATGGTTAGGGAGATTAAAAAGCAGTAAAGATAAATATAAAAATATCAATTGGACAAATAAACCAGTCAAAAGTCTTGGTATTTATTTTGGGTATGATAATAAGGAATGTCAAACATTGAACATAGAAAAAATCTTGGATAAAATTACAAAACTTGTAGACAGATGGTCAAAAAGAAATTTAACATTGTTTGGAAAAATTTTAATTGTAAAAGCTCTTCTGCTACCAAATTTAACTTATTTTGCTACTAATGGTATTATTACTAAAGATAAGTTGCAAATCATAAATAATATAATTTATAGATTCGTTTGGAATGGAAGAAAAGATAAAATAAAGAGGTCAATATTAACAAAAAATTTTACTGAAGGGGGCTTAAAAATGATTGATCTGGAGTCTTATATAATGTCAATACATATAAAATGGATTAAAAAAATAATACAATCAGAAAATGCTAACTGGTCTGTGTTGCCTAAATTATACCTGAATAAGTTTTGCAAAAATTTGCTAATTTTCAAGATAAATATAAGAAACATAAAATCACTTGATAAAAATACATGGAACAATACACCACTATTCTGTCAAGAACTGATCAAATCATGGATAAATTTGAATGATACTAAAAATAATCAAATATGTAACTTTTTAGAGATCAGAAAGCAAATAATATGGGGCAATAGTTTGATAAAATTTAAAGGACAATGTCTGTTTTTCGACAAATGGATTGAAAGTGACATTTTATTTATAAACGACATAATTGATAACAGAGGGCAAATATCAGAAGAAGTAATCAATTTAAAACTAAAAAACAAAAGTAATTGGATTGCTGAATTTTCAAAACTTATAAAAAAGCCATACCAAATCACTGGGAGGAGAAGCTTACAACTGAGAGATCATTCAAAACTATAGTTAATATTAACAGAGAAAAAATTAGACTAAGAGACAATGAGGATATACTGGGCATTAATAATAAAGACATTTATAAGATAGTGCAAAGTCGAATAAAAACAGAAACACCTATTGGATTTTTAAAATGGGAAAGGGCAATGTCTGTTATACATGATATTATCAATGAGATATATATTTAACAATGTATATCAATGAGATATATATTTAACAAACTAGGTATTGACAAACATGTAATAAGCCTACACTCTCTAGTAATAGGATACAAGATTCATGATGATGCTTATTTTGGACTTAATCACTTGCTGAGTTTAATGTTTTTCTCAGTCTATAAATCACATTATAAATCCAATAATAAGGGGAAAAAAATAGACATGTTGAAAATTTTTAGATATGGAATCAATAGTACAGTTGAATTATATTGTACGGCCGATATAGAAATAAACAGAATGTTAAAAAAAGTGTTACAGATCTTAAAATAAATAAAATTAACTTTTGGAAAAAACAGTTTCTTGAAAAGCAGAATGCATGTATTAATATGTTAATATTGTGTATTTGTTTTCAATGTTTCAAGTGTATCAGTAAGCATATATGCTATTATAATGTATGTATATGTGTTTATGTATGCAAATGCATGTATACATGTATGTGAATGCATGTATCTGTAAATGTCTTTATATGTGTGTACATGTATGTATGTAACTATATGTATGAATGTATGCATATGTATGTGTGTATGCATGCATGTAGGTAGGAAAGTTATGTATGTATGTAAGTGAAACATAAAATTAGATTGGCAAGAAAAAGGGGGGGGGGGAAGTAAATGTATTGTAGAAAAAAAGAAATATGTTTATATAATGTACATCATGTATCCTATCTTATCTGTACATGCTTATAGAAGTCAACAAAGCTTTTGTACAATGGTATTAACTTTCATATGTCTAATGATTGTTTTCTTTTTTATGTGAAACTATAGGAATATATATATAAGTATAATAAGTACAATTGTAATGTTTACAAATATAAAGGTCACGGGTAGTTAAATTGGGGTCAAATTTGTAAATAAAGTTTCATGACAAGAGCTTAGAAGAAACAAACAGTATCAAATGTAACTTACCATTCTTTATTATTATCCAACACTTCCAAAAACTTGTATAAATCCAAAAGTATAAAATAACAAAAAGTATCAGAAACAGTATGTCAGTAACCACGCTGTCTTTCACATACTTCACATGTTTCAAAATTTTATTAAAATAATCGATAACGGATTTTTCTCCGTAAATTTCACGACACAGCGTCTGTAACATCTTTACTTCGATAAGATTTTATATGATATTATGATTATTTATAAAGTAATTATAGAAAAATAGAAATGTATTAAAATGACTATGTATAAAATAAAATAAGTTTTACTGTATATTCTCCCTGGATATTCAGTAATAATTGTGTATAACAGGGATACTTGATGGAATGCTGTACATCAAGTATTTTGTTAAAACAGCAAAGAGTGCAATAAAGAATTTATGAATGTTAAAAAAAAAAAAAAAAGAAAAAAAAGTTTCTTAATAATTAAAAAATTTATAGAAGGGCAATTTAAGGAAAGGTGTTATCGAGGCACCGACTTCTGAGCTAATGATACCTCCAGGGAATAATAGTCCACAAGCAGCTTTGTCGATCTTGTGCTATAAAAATACAAAAAACACTTTATAAAATGTATGTATCTGATGCCTTTTTCTGGATTTACCTTCATCAGGAACGCTTAAAGCCTAATACCTGAAAGCCATATTTGAACATGAATCAATGTATTTCTATCATGCTCAAATGAAAACATTATGATTTACAGTAAAAATTTCAATGGAAAACTGATGACAAAACCACAATTTTAATTGCCCAAAAAGCATTGTGTAGGTTAAACTAACAGTTAAAGGCTTATATGTGGTTATTTGCTTTCAGCACGATAGGTCTTTCTTTTGAACAAACAACTCGAACGATACCAAGTTTCAATTAAATGTGTTTTTAGTCATCACATAATGAATTGTGCAAGGTCATTCAAAACCATGAAATTTATACATATATATACTACTGAAGAGTTAAGTAACACAACTTCTGACTGAAAATAAAGTAAAACAAAATCTAGATTTATATATATTTTTTTTATTTTGTGTTTTCTGAATCTTCAATTATTTGTGTCTTCCAAAAAACTACAGTTTTGCTGGTAAAATTTCAGATAGCTACGCTGTGCACAAAATTTGAGAGAAAGGGTCTAGATTAAAAGCCACAATTTAATCATTTTTTTGTACATTTTCTCGTGAAAAAATGCATACAACAAGCAAAGTGGACGAAGCGGTAAATCTGTTGGAATTATTCATTACACTTGAACAGAAACTAACATTTCCATCGCAAAACAATAACGAAATAGGTGGGACACTTTTTTTACCCTCCCCCCCCTTTCCTGTTGGAGTGTTTTGAATTATTTTAAGCATTTTCTACAAAGGTATGAGTCCTCAAAGTTTGAGTCCATTAATCTTAATTAAGATTAAAATTAATTAAAATCATATCTATACTAATGAGTTTCATTTCACCTTATAATTGAGCCGTGAGGCGTAGTTATTTTATACCTACAAGTATTATCAAAGAATATCCCACTTTATTGTGATCATTAAAATGGGTTACAAAGTTTGCACAAAATAATTTTGTTGACGGTATATAAGTCAGATAATGCATATATTAATGTCTTCCTTTGATCAATCCTGACACCCTCGGTGTGTTACACGACAAGCCAAATCTGAAAATATGCATTATCTGTAACTTACAGATACTAGTTAAAATGTTGAAAAATATCAAAAGTGTATTTTCACCGCGGTTAGGATTTAAAAAAATAAGCTCCAATAAATTATGAAAAGAAAACAGCACTTTATCAATAAGTTACGTCCGAAGTGTTATTTCTGAATTTACCTTTATCAGGAACGCTCAAAGCCAAATGTGTGTAACCCATATAAAACCCTAAATGACCAACAAATTTAAGGAATTTAACAAAGTTATTTAACTAATCCTGCCGGTACCGAAGCACTGATTATACCTACTTAGTGCCTCGGCGATCAACAGTTCACCAACAGCGAAAATCGGGATATTCCGTAGCGCTTTTCTGGATTTATTTGCATAATGGACGGTCAAATCCCCAATATATAAGTATAACTTATTTTGGTAAACTAGAGGTTTGTTCAACATTAATACCAATGAGTTTGATCATTATTCCTAAGACAAATGAGACTTTATTCAGTTCCTGTGTAAAGTCAATCAAAATCTCCTTAAGATAAAGCCGTTTCTAGAACCAATTTATCATGATTTACTTTTCTGTGCATTATCAAATTGCATGACGTAATAGTTTTTATCCATATGTCAATGACATATCTTTTAAGCTTTTAACATTCATTAAAAAAAATCACAGAATTTGAAAACAACTCGATATTATCCCTTTGCTTACATTTTCTTAATGAAAAATTATAAGAGAACACTCCTAGTGGTTCAGTTTTTTGTCATCTTTCGTTTCAAATTTTCGACATACGTTGAATGGGGTTCCGATATGTTTTCCTTTTTTTATTTTCCTTTATTTATCTTATCATTTTTTTAAATACTTTAACAAACAATCAAAGTATTCATTCTACTTATTTTTTCCCCTTATTTGAAACAACAAAATAAATTGCAACAGAACGTTGCAGGATTATTGAAAGCCCTTTTGTTCTGGCGTGAAATGTCATTAATTTGTTAATTTTCTGTGAATTTACTGTTTATAAAATGTTGAAAAATTCAAAACGCTAAGCCTTTTTTCACCCCTAGTATACATTAGTTAGCCATATTTTGTACAAATTTTCTGATTTTTCGGTTATTATTATAATAATTTCATAATATTTGATTTGGCTTTGCAGCTGTTTTTGTTCGAGCGCCACTATAAAGGTTTGACCGTATTTGCATACCTACAAATCAATAAGATGATCGATGAATTGAGGTAAACTATCGTATGGTTATAATCCCAAATTAGAAAAAAAATCGTTTCAAAACATTCTGACATCTTGACAGCACTTTTTCAAAAAACGTAACATCGCAGTTTACAAACCAAATCAAGACCATAAATAAAAGGTGAATATATAGTAGGTGAAAATACTGAAAAAACTTTATCTGTGCTAATATGTATTTATCTCTTATGGAAGAAAAAATGAGGGGAAAATCTCCGTATAAAATTTATAAAAACATTAAAAACAATTAAGGACTATTCGCAATTAGTAATTTAAGATATAATAATTTTGCATTTTTCAGTACAGTAGTGTTGATTTCGCTGAAATAGATGAAATAAGGATGTCACCAATTATTGCAATTCGTTCCCAATCATCAGGAAATTGCACTGAAAATGGAGAGAAAATCTCACGAACAATAGTAGCTTCTCCAGTTCTTCCGAGAAATTGTATGTCACGAAGTTACTACCGTGAAAATCTGGTGAGACGAAAACATTCAAGCGTTAAAAGAAGGAGACAACTTAACTCCAGCGTACGAGAAAAAAGTATGAAATGTAAACTTCCTCGTATCCCTTTGCCAAGAATCAACGATGTGAACTGCATTGACAGATACTCCAGAATGGTCTTTCCATTGTTATTTGTATGTTTTAACTTAATGTATTGGGTTTTTTATTTGTTCATTAAGAAGGACACGTAATAAAAGTTCAAACAAATTTTTGTTGAAATAAATTAACGATAATGGGGTTATGTGCCTTTGTCCACCAATATGAAGTTCAAGTGTTTGCAATTTAACATGTTTATATGATTTACGAAATCTGTCAATTTCAGGGAATGTATTCATTATTTATTGACCGTAAACAAATAATTCTACGTAAAAGTGTTCGTTTTGTTTTTTCATTATGATTATTATAGTGGAAAATTTTAAATAATTGTCTGAGATAATAGTTCGTCCTAAACATGCATGAAATATTTGCCACTGGACATTAAGCAACCAACAATCAATCAATCTCAAATAATAATTCCCTACGGTATAATTGATCTCAGTTATGTATTTGATAAAACAGCGATATCGTTAGTTATCAAATGATCAGTTACCTATACATTTGTAATTCACAATTGTCATCATATCAATTTATTTACGTTTTTGTTTTTTTCCGCATGAATTTTTATAATTTTGGTTTACACACCATACATTTTCAACATGTTAATTTGACTCGTATTTGAGAGAGAAAAATAAATGATAGAATAATATATTGTTACAATATTTATTGATAAACAAAGCCGAAATGATGTCAAAATGCCTTAAGTATTTGTGACAGTTGATTGTTTAAAATAGTCACAATCAGAAAACAACCAGTTCTTTTCGATGTACTTTTTTTTAAATAAATGAACGCCAGAAAAAAGTAAAATAACAAAAATACTGAACTCCGAGGAAAATCAAAAGCTCAAACACATCAAACGAATGGAAAACAACTGTCATATTCCTGACTTTTATCTGTTTGTCTTTTTATTTTTGGCCATGACGTTGTCAGTTTGTTTTCGATCTATGAGTTTGACTGTCCCTCTGGTATCTTTCGTCCCTCTTTTATAGCTATTTTGTCATAAGATTAAATAAAGTGATAGTCATTTCATGTCAAAACTATACGTTATCCTGACTTTAGCTGAAAAATTTAACACACCTTTAACTGCAGATTAGAGCGCACTGGTTCTCGGAAGCTGGGTAGTACAAAAACAGGTACTTCTGATCTGAGCAACAGGGCAAATATGCCCTCTAATCTGAATTTCATATATTTCTTTATTCTTCAAAAGAAATTTTTAAGAAGGGTTCTACGGTGATCCAAAGTCTTTAAGCTTTCATTTGATACAAAAAATTACCAAAATATTTTACTTATTGACAATGTTACAGCTATGTGTAGGAACTATTTTGTTTAAGATATGGACTACTTTCTGGCCGGGCCGAATATTAGTTCTATACCTAAACGAACATGTTCAAACTTGTCTTATGTTTTCATAAAAAAAAATAGTAACATTATTGCCAACAGACGGAATTGCTACTGAATGAAATCTTAATCTGCTACAGACCATATTCAGTTACGAAGATTAATATTTATACTTTGAAATAAGACGTAAATTTTCTTTGATAATTTTTAAATTCCCTTACAAAAATTTTGGCGATGATCACGCTGTTTTCCTGCATTGTTCGTTATGTTGCTAAATTAAATATACCCGAAGAACAGTGTAAGTCCACATGATTTAGATAAAAGTAAAGGAACAAAAATACCGAACTCCAAGGGAATTTCAAAACGAAAAGTCCCTTATCAAATGGCAAAATCAAACGCTCAAACACATCAAACGAATGGAAAACAACTGTCATATTCCTGACTTGGTACAGGCATTCCCTTACTTACAAAATGGTGGATTTAACCTGGTTTTATATCTAGCTAGACCTCTCACTTGTGTGACATTCGCATAAAATTCCATTATATTGACAACAATGTGTGAACAAAACAAACAGACATAATAGGTAAAAATGTCAAAAATAGGGGTACAGCAGTCAACATTGTGTTATAATCTTAATCACTATAAAACAATTAAATATGTCAATAAAGAAAAACAAAATGGCATATAGACAAAGCACATAAGCAAAAATGAAAGACAAGAATACAAAAAATGACCATAGCACAATAACACAATGGCGGGATGTATAAGTACCGAGCCACGCCAAAAGGATATTACCAAAAATGGACTAAACAGTAAAGGTTAATAATTTACAAAGATAAACAAAAGAACACTATAACACGTAATTCAGATGATAAACAACATAGTACCTAAAATCTATACTTCAAGACCATCATGTATTATTTGTGAAGTTGATACGGATATTTATTAACAAAGTCTTGGTATCTCCGATGAACTTTTTCAGAAAAGGACGAGAAATTTAAGTATTTTAGTTTTTTTTTAGTAATTACGAGCATTCTTTGTTTATTACGATACAGCAAATGATTTAAACTTTTAAGTCCACATTATATGCTTCATCACTGTAAATATGCAACAACTTGAAAACGATATTGCTTTTCTAATTGTTACAAGGTTTTTCCCCAAAACAATATTGGTCAACTATACTTTTATGAAATGAGAACAGAATCTTTGTACGTCGAGGAAAAAATCAATGAGTTCGTACAAAGAGCGTACGACATAATCTTTCGATTCTGTTTATTAGTTGGATTGTGTTTTGGATTGTTGTGGCAGAAAACTCATGAATGACTTATACACCGTTTGGAAATGTTCATTAATCTTGAAAGTACATCATGAAATTGATACAGTAAAATAGAATAAAAGATGTTTTGCGCTTCTGAAAAAAATGGTCCTTTACGTCCTCACTTTATACTGCATTGAAGAATAAAAGGGAGTAATTATCTAGACTAGCTTTATTTGAGATGTTCCTATTTTTTTTTAACTTGTCTGTCAATTCGTGGTTATTGGATGGTGTAGCTTGATTCAAAGAGAAATATATCTTTTTTAAACAGAAAGATTAAAGAACAATGCTAATGTGGTAGAAACAAATTAACCAAATTGACCTACCCTCCTTTGAACTTAACACTAATTTCAACTGGAAGTGATAAAAAACAGAATTCAGAAACCAGATATTTGAAAGTTTAACATTTTATATGAATAGGAGACTGCTCGAAAGATTTTAGTTAACATAAACAATATTCCAATAATATCCATGAATAACTAAATTGTATGTCAATGAATAACTGTATCAATATTAAAAAAAAACCAATTATATACACTACATTAGAATGTAAAAATTACGACTTGTTTATAAAACAAAATAACACAATCGATATACATCTGCAACATAGCGTGTCTTTGTAGTATAATGCATGGAAATAACATTAAAATTTCTTGAATAAAATAAGAATGAAATCAGCTTACAAAGCAATTTGACCAAAGTAAAAGTGCTTTTTTGAACGTGTTTCGTACAAATCGAGAATGTGTAAAACCCGGCGGGTGCAATCAATTGTTAATAAAAAATGTGAAAAGGGAGCCTCAAATTTGTATTAAACCATTATGACTGAAAAGCAATAATATAACTGCGATAAAAGCCATTCAGTTCGGTATTATAGACAAACATTTAATTGAATCGTGATATAATTCATGAATTAATTATTGCTACAAATAGACTAAAATTAATATGCCATTACAATAATGTACTTATAAGAAATTCAATGTCAGTTTTAATGAAAAAATGAATTAGTAAAGATTACCGACAATACAAATGACTCCACTCAAACATGTATCAAATGGTTTTAATTAGATTAAACATTATTTTCAAGTATTGTTATGCATTGCTTAATCCATTATGTGAAAGAATTTTTTTATCGCTTTTATTTTTGATGAATTTTTATCAACACTGTAAAGAATTACCGTCTTTCAAAATTAGTGGTCATTTGCGGAACTATATGCTAATATCACAGAAGTGGGAGGTAATTAGGTTTAAACCACTATTTTCTTCTGGAAATGTATGTACCAAGTCAGGAATATATAAGTGGTTTTTCATTCGTTTTGTTGGTTGATGAAGTCTTACGTTTGATTTTGTTAGTTTATGTAGACATCCTCCTTGTTCAATTTACCTTCGAGTTCGGTATTTTTGTTAATACTTTTTTATCATACGCTGAAAATAATCATTAAAAGTTAAGCGCTTAAGAAGCACTTTCTTTATGCACAGATGTACAATTAAAAAATATCTTAAAAAAAATCTAACGATTGAAATAATATATTGTAGGAGGTCAATATACAGGTTGAGTTTCTGATTCCTATTCGTGAATGTGAATGTATATTGTAATTTGTATAATTCATATTGTTTACACTAATATAAAGGTTAAAGTCACATGGAATGAGTTCCTTGTAACTATAATAATATGGGAAAAAGTATTAAATTATTTTTTCTAAGGTGACAAAATCAAACGTTCGACTATATCAACCAACGAAACGAATGGAAAACAACAGTTTTATTCCTGTCTTGTTACAGGCATTTTCCTCCGCCTTGTATGAGATTTGTTTATAGTTCCGTTATATGGCAAAATTGGGAGAGCAAACCTAACAGACATTATTGGTTAATTTGATCCGGCAGCCAAAACTGTGTAATCATACATCACATACATACAACACAACTAACTAAAAAATCAAACAATTACAAATAAATTTGACAAAGATGCCAACAAATAGTTATTGTTATTGAAAGCAAATCTGGCAAAGACGCCAACAAAAAAGTTTTTGTAGTTGATAGTACATACAGTATACAAAAAAATTATGCCATACTATTATACACTTTTCTGATAAAGTATAAATTAAGTAAAATATAAATATATGGATAAAAAAATGAAAACAACACCTAAATTAATGAATATATGAATGCATATATACAAAACTAAGCCTTTGTGTACGTTTTCTTTTACATTTATTACGAATACATAACGTTTAATTGACATAAAAATAATCATTCGGTGATTGTTGATCATTAACTTTTGATTTTGGTTCCGAAGTTGACCGATCTTGACATAAAAACAATTAACGGATAAGCAAGAAGCACGTGAACAAGAAGTGATATAACAAAGCGATTTTTATTTGGATTTTTTCATATGTTTCTATTTGTTAATTAAACTTTGGGTAAATTAACTGAGATTCAGCATTATTCTAGATGCTTACTAACTCCAGAGCTTAACTAATTGAAATGTATCTCTATCTCCACTCTAGGGGATATATTTAGACAATTTTCGTTTCTTTTATTTCTTTGTCTTGAAAAAGAATCCAGTAATAACCAATTAAAATGTATATAAAGTATAAGAGAATAATTAAAATGTATCTCCACTCAGGTTTCATATTAAAAAGGTATCTCACTCTAGAGGAATGCAGATGAAATTGTACCTTAATCTTCAGGTTGTCTAACTAAAACGTATCTCATTCTGCATGATATCTTATAAAAAAATTTCTCACTCTAGCGGACATCTTCAGACGATTAAAGTTCCTTGTTTGCTCCGTTTGAAGAAAAATCAAAAAATGTTCATCGAAAACAGGAAATTCGATATGCTTTATTCTATTTTCGGTCATGTCGTTTATAAGTTTCGGTTTTCTAAACGCTTTGTTTTGGAAAAAAAATATACCAGATACGTTTGTAAAACGCACTAATTTTAATACTTTTTTTCACTTTTCATATATATCAAACAATAAATATGGAGATGGTATGT